GCGCTGACTTCGCTAGTTACAGATCAGCCAAATATAAATGCAGTTTTTCTGAGAAAGGACACTGGGTCTGACCCACAGAACTTGATCTTGTGGGTGATTCTCCATAAACACGTCTCAATGAAACCAGCTTCACATCTGTTTTATAAAATCCAACCTCAACTGCATTAGCATGTGGGGGTATTCTATCCTCCACTGTCAGCCTAAAGACAAAAGATGGAGCCAAGTTCCATAAGCTTCTTCAAAATATACTTGATTTCAAGCTTCTGCTCCAACTAGGGCACATGGCCTCTCTTTGGTGAAAGATCCTTACACGTCGCGGTCCCCTTCTCCCCTTCCTTCTCACTGAAGACTAAATTACTCATGTCACCATGGACTACTTGCTCAAGTCAAAGTGGTTTCGCTGGGTTTCAGTATTGGTTTTGAGACAGGCAGAAGCTTCCACAGTCACATGAGAAACAAAGTGGCCAATTTTTTACAGTTTTGTATGCAAAAAGGGAACCGTACCGACACTAGTGCCATACAGGTTTGCACAGGCATCTGAAATTTTTTAATGTTATTAGTACAGTGACTACTATTACTACCCTTAAACCTTCCAAACCCTTCATTAGAAAAAAGCCTGAGAAACTCACGGCACATTTTCAACATTAACAAAAATACCATAAAGTAAAAGACTGCCTGCGTTTTTATGCACTGACAAATCAAAATTTTTTTTGACCATTTCAAATGGCTTCTGAAGAACTTGGTTCTTAATATTCTAGACCTTTACAAAGATTTCAGCCAACAGCTGGGGTGACCAGAGCTCAGGGATTTAGGTTTTTCTGTGCAATGCAGGCTCACTTTGTTTCCTGCTAGCACAAGGCAATGACACTAATCTCTGAAAATTTCCCACAACAGGCAAAGGGACCTTCTGTCCCTCCCGTCTAGCCGAGAGAAACTTGGATGGAGCCTCTCTGCACTTCAGTGATTCCCAGCTGCCTTCCTGACCCGGGTGGGCTGGCAGCAGCGGCGGACGATGCAGCCAGCAGTTTTTGGACCGCTCCATCCAACGGTGGGCAAACAGCCCATAGCCAGGCTGCTCGGAAGCAGGACGGTCCTTTTACTCCTTCACGCTCGTACTGACACTGTGGCTATAAACCCTGCTTAGGACAGGCAGCCTGTCACGGTGAGTACTCATAACAGAAGTGGTGGTAAGTTGATTATACACATAAGCAGTTTTCAAAGCCACATCCCTTTTCCTCAAAGAGAAGGTGGCACATTTGGCTCAAAATCTATTTTCATTGACTTCAGTATTGGCTACGATCATGTGGAAAACCAAAACCTTATTATGCAGGTATTTAAACAAAGGCACCCTCATCTGCAAATATTGGCTTCACTTTATTCTATCCAAATAATCAGATTTACTGATATTTTATGGGAAAGTTATCTCTACAGAGAATTTTTCACATGAACATATATATAAAAAATATTTTCTTCTTTTATTCTTTACTACTAAGGATTTCATTGTATGGTTCAGGATCTGTGCTGTGAAAGCAGCCTTCTGCATCAGTGGAGATCTTTCCTTTGACACTCTAAAAGCTCAGTGAAATACCCACAACAGCCCAAAAGCTACACAAAATTCATCTTTGGTTTCCAACACAGTACCAGAATTCTTGCTATATTCACTGAAAATATCATCAAAGGTCACAGACTTGGATGTTCTTAAGGACACAGGAAGTTTTTTTCATCAAAATCAATGTCCAAGTACTCCCAGTAATAGCAGAAGTGACATTTCATGTCAGAAGAATGTTTTCACATTGTTCTGCCCTGGTCGCAATTAGTAGCTACTATCATTTTAACAGCTATTAGCAGTGGATAAATGAATAATTCTAGCAGCTACAAAGTAATAGGCTGAGATTTTTGCAGTGGACAATGTTATAAAAATACAGTAGGTATTTTTACAATGGGTATATTGTTACGCTGGCAGAAAATCATATCTATTCATATGTCTTCCTATATGATTTAGTAAGCCGTAACAAGTAATCACTGCAAAGGATCCTGAGACATACAAAGGCGGATTAGAGATATAGGTCTCATCAAATCTCTGTAAAATTATGCCCAGGGCTTGGGCGAGGTCCATGTCCACACTGGATCCATGTTTTGCAGCCCCTTCTCTCACTAGAAAGGACAAAATTAAATCCTGGATTTGAAAACGCTGAAAATTTGGGGGTATTTGGCTTCCTAATCACAATCCAAATCATAAAAATGAGTCCCATCGTTAGATAAGGACAAAGGAAGAAAAGGACTGGTAAAGGAGAAGGAAAATCAATAAGATGAATAGATTTTTCTAAGCAAACTGTATTAGAGTTTTCCATGAGGTACCAACTATTCTTTAACACACAGCTGTGTGGAACTTCTTATTAAAAAAAGTTTCTAAGGACATATAATTAAATGCAAGGGGGTTGAATATTGCAGAAAACAGCTATAGTTTTGCTGGATTTAATCCACTTAAATTTAATCCTGATTCAGTGTGAAACAGCAAAATACAAAATATAAAAAATAAAAGAATAGGGAATTATAATGGAAAGGCCAGCTCAACCTTAGCTAAAGATGTAATACCAACATTACTAGAATACAGCAATTATAAGCAATACATCAATAGGTATGTATAATAGATACATTTAGGGCTTGATATCTGCGGTAGACCAGTTGCTCAAGGCCACTAAAATATTAGTTTACATCCAACACCAGCTAAAAGTGCAAGAACTTCAGTTCAAATGAGCAACACCGGAAATTTGCGTGCACTGTGCAGAACACAGAGGTTAAAATAAACTTTTGACTTTGGAACAAACTGTTAGCCTGCCCTTCATCAGCGGAAAGACCAGCAACTTCTATGTGCATCCTGGAGGTATGTAGTTTAATCTGTCGTGCTAAAACAGAAAAGTCATCAAGGACAATCTTGAACAGAATTGCAAAGGGACAGACCATTACGCAAACTTATCTCTGAAATCCTCAAAGCAATTCACGTTTGAGGGCTTGGCTTTCTGCACACTCTTTGGATATCATAATTTTGGGCTTCATTACAGGGTAGAAGTTATATTAAAGAACATTTGGCCTGCTTTTTTATTATAACAAATCTTCATGTGATTTTGTTCAGTAGAAATTAATAATGTGATGCTACATACCGGCATTGAGGTTGAGTTTGGTCAACCACATAAAATAATACTTTGCACTTTTAAATGCCTTTCATCAGAGGATATTCAAGTGCTTTGCTAACATTAGTCAAGCCTCACAACACCCCTGCGAGGTAGGTAAAATACATAGGAGGAGGAGGAGGAGGATTTCACTCAACTTGGACATGATAATGTCTCTGGGCATGAGGTTCACTAGCATTGCAACACAGCACAAAGGTTTAGGGCTTACTGTAAGGCAAAGAGTTAACAGTAGAAGAGCACAGCGTTCCCTCTTCTTTTGGTTTTACGTGGTCAAGCTAACATGTGGTGCTAGGCAGCACCAAACAGGGGAGCAAATGCCCACACCAGGTTTTCATGCACCCAATCCACAAACAGCACCCTCTGCACAGTGAAAAACACAAAATGACAGGCTCAAGATGGGTACGACAGCTTCGTTATGGGATGTGCCTACCAGTTCTTGAGGCGCAGAGTACCATGGGAATGAGAGCCCAGAAAACAATACTGTCTCCACACAACTCTGACAATATCTGAAGATGCCTGGGTTTGGTTCTTTTTGCGCTAACGTTTCAATTCGCAGCTTACTGGGGATAAGCAACTGCAACCATAAAGCGTGTTGGTAACTTCCACGCCTTGTGAAGGAAACAACCAGATCAAATGGCTGCTCTCTACTTTGGCTGGCCACATGTTCCCAAAGTACAGGGCCATGAGGTGGACAGATGGTTGTGATAGCCTGGGATGGGATAAAGAAACACTGTCGTACATCTACATTCCCCCTCTGAAGATGCTGCAATCTGCCTCTTGAAAACTCCCTGTAGTTTTGTGGGTTTTTTCTCCCCAGGGTAGACATGGGAGAGTATTTGGCCCCCCTCAGTTTTGTCCTCAACACTTAGCACCAATGGTGCAGACAGTCATCGTACAAGTAGCAGTTCCACTGTGTCACTGATCTTTCAGATTAAGGATTGAGAAAAAAGAAACAAGCATATGATTAAGAAAAGCGTCAATCATCTACAATGGTCTATGTTAAATACAAGGGAACAGAAAGAAAACAGAGTTCTCGGTATTAGCCAGTACAAATAAACACACTCCCCACCCCTCTCTTTCTCCATATTTCAATTTTCTAACTTGGCATAAAAGGTACATCCTGTATTTGCAAAAGTATTGCCCACATAGAAAATGTGACCTGTCTATCATAAAAAATCGCTACAGAGGCTGGTCTACCACATGCAAGACAGCCCTCTTGGGTAATTTTATGCCTTTGCATGCAAGATATTCTCCCTTTTTGCTAATTTCCATTTGAATCTTATGTTTATTTATAATACTTGTGCACTATCAGCTGCATAACTTACTACTGCACAGGTTGGGTGACCCATCGTGAGTATCACTGCCTTGTCAAATAGCTGGGAAGAGGTGGTTCATGGATTCTGTGACATCAATGCAAAGTTCCCCTCCAACACCGTATACATTCACAGCTAAAACTACACTGTTCCACTGATCAGCAGTGAATAAATGTGTATGATTATAACACATGGATGATGTCCTTCTCGTTTTCTCTCCCTCCCCTCCTCCTCGTCCCTTTCTCTTTCTCCTCTCTCTTTATATTCTGCTTATTTAAATATGGGAATATGGAGAACGCAGATACAACAACTGGCAACTCAAAAAATGAGCTGGCATCTTTGTAATCATATAAGAGACAATCCGAGTGGTACACTAACTGGCAGCTAGTGGGAAAGTTGACTTTACATCTCATACTGCCCCAAGTTGGAAGCCTTCTGCATTTCCTTTTCCTTGCTTTCCTTTTGTTCATTGCAACACTGATTGTCGTAGATAGTCTTTGTGCTTTGTATAATGCCCATCTTTGATGTAACTGGAACTCACATACAAAATGTGGCTGTTATACATAAGCATGCTAGAATACAGGCAGGGACGGTACAAGCATGCACAAAATAGTCTTTGAAGGGTTTTTTGTTTGTTTTTCTTCAACATTTACATGCACCACTTAATATCATGTTTGGTTGTGTACACTGAGGACTGGATTTCACAAGCATTTGTGATCTTCTCTTCTGAAAAGCTTCTTGGCAATTTCACAAGAGCCCAGTGTAAAAAAAAATCCCATAATTTAAAAAAAAAGATGGAAAAAAACCCCTTATCCTTGCAATCTGATCTTGTATTCACAATTTTAATGTTGAACACTTCTAAAATGTCTCCTCTCCCTCTTGCAGAGCTTCATGTTAAATGGTCGAACGGAAAGACAGATTAGTGTGTCAAGGATTTTCTTAGCCACTGGAATAGTTCTTCCTTATAAAGCCTTTGCCACCGCACATTGGCTTCTACTGTTTCCACGGCGCGAGAGAAAGAGGCAGCAGCTCCCTCTTCGTAACTCCTTATAAAGTTCTTTAGCTGAAAATACAATTTAACAAGTTAAATTTGCAGGAACTAAAGGAAGTAAATATTTCTAGTGCACACAAACAAGTCCAGCATTTAGGACAAACCTCCATGATCACTCTTGAAGTAAATGCAGTACTGTGTAGAAAGATTTACTAGGAAATGTAATAAGACAGCAGACTGTCAATTATATGTGATGCAATTGCTTCAGTTCCACTGGAAGATATTGGCAAGTCAGTGCCGGATCACATTAATATCATTCCCTCCTTCTCTCCTGCAGTCCAGCTGCTGCACTGCGTAGACAGCTGGGCTGCTCTAAACTTTTATTTCTACCTAAGAAACCAAACTGGGAGCACTGGAAATGCTTCTAATTCAGGTTTATATGCAAATATCAGCAGAAGGCAGCCCTGATGCCCTTTGGTTTTATCAAGCTTCAGAAGAAATGTATTTCATTTTGATTCACAGAACCCTTTTGATGATATAATACAGGTCAGTTGTTTGGAAAAAGAACGGATGGTTACAGCGTGAAGAGAATGGCAAAATAGCAAGTGGGCACTCATTTGATGATCTTTGAATGCCTGAAACAGACTCCTTCCCTTATGAGAAAACTTCGATCTTTTTTCAGCAGACCGAAAAGGCCCCTGCTCTGTTCTTGTGTATACTCAAATTATAGCCCTATCACCTGGATTATTACAGCTGATGGCACTGGTGTGCTTTGAATTACTGTTCTTTTTAAGTAAGAATTGCAAGGCTGATGTGCACAGTAGGTTGCTGGTTATGTTGACTTGTATAAAATTAGGTGGTTTAGCAACACTTATTCATAACTAGTTAATTTTTCTTTCCTGGTGACACCAAATTCACCTTGTTTATTTAAATCTAACTTCCAACAACATCTTTGCCATGGGCTCAAAACCAAAAAGGCCGATCCTGCAACTGTCTCATTCCCATCACAGTTAAAAGCATGGGAAGGACCTGGAAACCATCAAATCAGACTTTACCTGATCTCTGTACCTTTTATATCAAAATGTCTACAAGGCCAGTTTCTTTTAGGGGAAGTATAAACAGGCAGCCTGCCAGTACTATCATGGAGGTGGAAACTCAGAGTACAGAAGGCTTCCTTGTTGTCCTGGTTTCAGGTGGGATAGAGTTAATTTTCTTCCTAGTAGCTGGTACAGTGGTGTATTTCGGATTTAGTGTGAGAGTAATGTTGATAACACACTGATGTTGTAGTTGTTGCTAAGTAGCGCTTATCCTAAGTTCCGGATTTTTCAGTTTCCCATGCTCTGCCAGCGAGCAGGGGCACAAGAAGCTGGGAGGGAGCACGGCCAGGAGAGCTGACCCCAACTGGCCAAAGGGATAGTCCATACCATAGGACGTCATTCCCAGTATATAAACTGGGGGGAGTTGGCCGGGAGGGGCCAATTGCTGCTCGGGGACTGGCTGGGCATTGATCAGCAAGTGGTGGGCAATTGCATTGTGCATCACTGTTTTTCTTGCGTTTTCTTTCTCTCTCTTTTTGTTATCTTCCTTTTCATCATCATCATCATCATCATCATTATTATTATTACTATTACTATTACAATTACTATTTTATTTCAATTATTAAACTGTTCTTATCTTAACCCAGGAGTTTTACTTTTTTTCCGATTCTCCTCCCCATCCCACCGGGGACAGAGGGAGGAGTGAGCGAGCGGCTGCGTGGTGCTTAGTTGCTGGCTGGGGTTAAACCACGACACTTGTGCAGGGCAGATCCTCAGATGTGGCCAGCGCTGTCCTTCCCACCTGGCTAGCTTTGAGGAAACCAGCTGCGGCTCTTCCCTAAGTTCCTGAGGCCACTAGACTTGAGTGCAGACAAATGGTTGGACACAAAATATCATAGCGCAATCAGAGTTCAATTGATGGTGATTATGGTGCATAAGAATCATTTGATCCATTTGGGGTAATGCTGAACAGCCGCTAAGCAGAGCATAATGCAACCGCACAACCACCTCAGTCAGGGCAGATGTTAAGTTAAAATGAGAAATCTTTGCAATCTAAATAAGAAGCACTTAGCATTTAGAATAAATTATCATGGTGTCATTTGGCCAGAATATCGGGTTAACAGCTTTTCTCACATGGAAACACTGTAGGGAAAAGAAAAACAGAGAAAGCACTAGCAGCTTCTACTTCCAAATCTGGGGTTTTCTAGGGCTGCCCTCTGCAGCATAAACTAATGTGGATAGAAAGATCTCATCTTTAGTTTCTCAACCACTAGTCAAGAGAAAAAAACCAAACCTACATATCCAGCCAAGCACAGAGAAGTGCCTGCACTACCCACCTCCTGACACCATCTCTACGCACTCGGGTGCCTTTGCAATCTGCTCCTCCAGCTGCAGCACAGGTCTGCGACTCCAGCGGAGCAACCAGAGTTCCTGGAGAACCAACACCTTATTGCTCCTGCCTTGCTCCCTGCTTACAACAAATACAGCCTCACATGCTCAAAGTGATTTAAAAATTACCTCTCTTAGTTCTTCTTCGGTATTGAGGAATTCTGTGACCCCACTGATAAGCTTCGAATTCATAAATAATGCTTCTCCGTACCTGCAAGGGCAAAAAGAAGAGTTAGTGCAAGTGCCAGGCCGGCTGAAAATTAGAAAGTAGTCTTCTGTAAGCAAGGGAGAAGACGTGGGACCGATTCTGTGGATCCAAGGGAATAGCACTGGAACTGGACACTGGTATGCCACTGTTTTATGCTAAAAGCCTGGACTGAGACCTTCTTCTAGGCTGAGCTGTTCGTCGTTAACTTTCAGTCGGATGCTATCAAGCAGAATGGGCTTAACCGCAGCCGCAGATGAGAGCTCCAGAGGAGGAGAGGACCAAACTACAACACCACCTCACGCTTAACGAAACAGCTTTCCATGTAATGGCACCAAGCAGCTCAATATACAGGCGCCAAAGAAGGAGCGGAGCAACAACTATGGAGAAGTATTCTGAGGAACCCTTCTAGCTGTACCATTAAAACAGACTTTTTGAAGTGCTGCAGCCTTCTCTGCATTTTGTATTCATCCACCTCATCTACATTACAAATTGCCTCTCGATAAGTGAACTGAATCAAATTTTCTTGTTCCAGTACCTGATAATTAAAATAAATAATACTGATGGAGAATAATACTGCTAAAATAATCCCCTGGGCCAGGATGTAGCATCTTCAAAGAACCAACCTGGAATGAAAAATTCAACGCTTGGGCAAGGAATATTTAAAGGGTAAAATATTCAGCAGCAATCAGGGATGGCCTTCTGCAGGTAGTTGCTTTGAAACTGGCTCTTCAGTTCCTGCTGATCCACTTGTTTTTCCACAAGTTTTTCTCAATCCCCCAAATGAAGCATCTACTTCACTTATAAGATTGATCAGACTACTCGTGAAGAAGTTTTGCATTTCGTGTTGGAATAGTTTGTGGGTTTTGTTTTTTCGAAAGTCTCTAGCATGAAGAACAATTCCACTGGAAACCGAAAGCAAGTCTTTTGTTCAAGTTAGATGTCATTCAGCATAGCAAAAGGCACTTGACAAATGGCTATCCTTATCTTTATCTGCACATACACCCAAAGCAGTATCTAGCTAATCTGAACATGACTGTTTTTAAGATAGGGGATCCAGCTCTCCTGTCAGACGTGTGTAAGTAATACCAATAGACTTCACTGCAATTAAGTTTATCTGGGGGAACAATTCAGTTCATACCCTGCTTTTAGAAACTGATTTAGAGGAGGAATTCAAAATTCAAAGTGAAATGAACTAGCACAGTCACAGCTTCCTGTTCTGCTTCTATTAATCCTAAATTAATTACCCTTAAATGCTTAGGTACTGTAAGCCACAGTCCTTTCAAAAGGGAGAAAGAAAGAGAAAGGGAGAGGGATAGCCCCAGGGAGAAGGAAGAGAACTGGGGTTTCTTTGAGAAGATTCTGTTTTGGGGAAGGTCTACATCGTGTTGCTTGCTACCTTGAGCTTGTGTGAGGGGTAACACAGTTATAGGTATCAAAAATCCTACTCCCTGACCACTAATAACTGAATTATTCATGGATATTTCAGCAAGTACATCTCTTTTTCCAAAACTTCAGTCACACTGACATATATAGACATCCAGCAGCAAACGCCTCCTATGGGAAGTATGGATTTCATGGTCCTTTAAGCACGTTTAGGCTTTCTAACAAAGCCCTTTATTATTACAGTCTCAGCTTAGCCTCATAATTGACTGCTTGGAAAATTGGAAGCTTCTCTTGATGGGGTCTTTTGACAAGGTTACCAATCCACTTTAGAGAAGCGACCTCATAAAAACAGCTGCAGGGATTTTATTTTTCTCGCAGTCTGTACTGTGGCCACAGCGCAAACAAGAAGTAGCAGAACTCCTTCCACTGAAAATGATACCTTCACGAATACTTGTCCTGATTACTGCCCATTGCACATACTTGGTCAAATGTCAGCCACTAACAGCAATTTCTAAATGGGCTCTGCCAGCAAAAACTCTAGAAAAGCCACCTCCCAAAACAGCATTTTGCAGGTGTGAAACATATGAATAAAGAGAAAAAGCGTTCAGTCTTCCCACCCTTCACAGGAAAGACACCAGCACTGCAGAACCGGGACTTTACGTGCCTGAGCTCCCTGGAAATAGCCTGGAGCCACGGGCTCTCCGCCTGCGCCTTTATTTCTGGGGACGCGAAATAAATTCCAGTGCCTCACACTTGTACGGGCTTCGCACTTGTGCGAACTAAACGCGAGAGGCAGCACAGTCCATTGGCTTCGGAGAGATGAAAACGGCTTCCCAAATATTGTCAAATTCCCAAATGCTGACAAACGATTCAGCACTTGAGAATGAAGGAATTCTTACAGGCAGGTGTTGGATTAAATTTTCGCACACAGACGCACACGTGCACACACGATGAAAATGGTTTAGGAGCCAAGGTAGTTAGTGCATGCTCAGGTAACAGGAATTCAAGCACAGTGTTTTTAACTCTCTTTTTCAGAACTTTAGCCCTATTAGTCCCATGGATTTCTTACGAAAGACTTGTTAGGCACCTCAGTTTCAAAGTCACCTTTGTAAATGGGGTATGAGTGATTTTGAAGACTTTATACATTATCAGTATCTTCTGGACAATGTGAATACAAGCGTACTGTAAAAATATAAAGGGATAAGAATAATTTGTTGTCATTCTAACTCTTTGACATGCTGTGTTTTAAAGTTAGAGGAAATAGCGTTACAGTATAATTTAATCACCCTCAGCTATTTCATATTACTATCTCAAACATCAACACCTTTTATAATAAATTCAATGGAAAATACCGTTGAGATATCTCCTCATTAAATTAATGTTTCATACCAAGTATTTTAATTTAAAAAAAATAAATAATAAATTATAATTGTAGAAAAAAGATGCCTTGGGACAGAGTATACTTGAACTATAATTCCACAACAGAGCTTGTATTTTAAAAATATATTAGTGTAGCAAGCTTAAATCAGAAGCCTAATTTTGCATTCTATCATGTCACTGTTTCACTAAACATTAAGGGGCAAGGTGTTAGACTAATTCCACCCTCTCAACATCTCTCTTAAAAGGTTTTAATCTATAATTACAAAACAAAGTTATTTTCAATACACATCACACATGTACAGCTTGCATGAACTATTTCATTCCACCCCATTCAATATTTTGGCGATTGATAGAAACTCAACTGGATGTCCCTTTCAGAAAAATGCAACTGCTACAATCCTTTTGGTGGCTCAGACTTGTGTTTGGAGATCAAACTGAATGTAGATAACGTTAAGGCTGTGTTGGGCAAAGTGACAGATTCTGTTATTTTCTCATTAAAAAAAAGACAATAACAGTTTTTTTATGAGGCCTCACTGATCGTTACGAACTCAGATAACACAGTGATGCATTCCAAGCAAGTGAGAGAAATAAAATTCAAATTTCAGGTGAAGTCAAGCTACTTAATATTAGAACACACAGAAAATTTGGCATGTGGCATAGTTTTCTAAATCTTGTCCATTCGTCTACACTGCTTAACCTTGTACATGTCTAAAATCACAGCTGTTTGCTAGGTTGTCAGATGAACGTACTTGCTAAGGTAGGACACAACTTCTGCACATGTGTTTGTAGCAATACAGATTTTGACAGATTTATGCCTAAACTCTGTATAAATCCCTGGAGGAACCTGAAAAATTATTTGCAATCCAGAGCATAACTAACAGCACTGGCTTGCATAATAGTAATGGGTCTGCATTCACTTTCTGTGTAAAAGTCCAGTTCCTGGAATAATCATACCAGAAGCAGCGGATTCTTAATTTTTAAACTCTTCAGCACTCTTAAAGATTTTGGAAATTGCTTTCAAAAAGTATGCTCCTGTAATATAAACTTCCAAAACCAATTCCAGCTCAAACCTATTTTCCCAGCTGAACTTCTAAAATCCCACTATACTATAAAGTATTATCCAAAAAAACATGAAAAACTTCTTGAAACTTTAAGAAAGTTGCACAGTCTCTGAGTTTCCTTGACTCTTCTTTTGATGCTGCAGAACCTATAGTAAGTTTGTACCTGTATTCATCAGGCACTAGTATTTAGTTGCTTAAATACAGCATCTTAAATACACTATTTCAAATATTCTGTGGCACACTAGATGGCTCCTCACAAGTCCAGAATGGAACAGAACTCCAATACTTTTTCTGCCAACACCATGGGATTGGCCTGGAGTGGAGTGTCTGAAGTTCTTGGACACCTGCCTTGAAGAACTTGAACCTCATCCGAGTTGTGGTCCCTTCTAATGTGTCCGTATCAGACGAGCTGCTGTGAAATCTTTCAGACCCTCAGGCTGTCCCTAAAGAACTAAAGGAATTTCTCATTCATTGAATTAACATCAAAATATTCATCAAAAAAGGATTTTAAAATGTTGACGGGGCTTCTGAGTAGGAGCATGTAGCACTTGTTCAAAGAGAAAGAGAAGTAGGTATAAGGAACAGCCCTGTCTCCTTCCTGTTCATCTATTTTTAATTCAGAATGTTGCTCCTCTATTACTTGAAACTCACCTGAAACACAGAGTGGAGGGAAAGGGGATGACACTATATTAGCATCCTTTTGAAAATGGAAATGTTTCAAAAAGGGTTTGGTGTTTTTTTCCCACAGCTGAAATAATGTTCTTGAAAAGATTTTTTTTCTGTCAGACTTAAAATCAGCAAAATTCCTTTGGGAAGTGCTGCTTTTTTATCTATGTAAAAGTAGAACTGCAGCACTTGACACTTAGATAGACTTCATTATCATAAGTGCAGACACAATACAGTAATAGATATATATACAGATGATCACTAAGAGATAAATGTTTCTATGCATGTGTGTGATAATCCATGAATAAATGCAGTTATGACTTGTATGTATGTATTTCATATTTAGAGACATCTCTATGGATTAAAAGAGAATGGACTAGATTCAGGACTTACACAAATACACACATATGCAATACTTACACAAATTACATCAAAAATAAGAAAATGAAAATAAAGTCACACTGTTTATCTTTACCTAGCATTTAATATTTTCCATTTTTCTCTGAAAAACTTCCAAGCAAGATCCCTTCCATGTGGATTTCGAGCTACGTGGATTATCACATCAATTGCATCCTGATCCAGGACAACTTCTGAGTTGAGAGACAAATTCAAAAGCCTAGTGGGAGAAACAAGGAAAAAAAAAAAAAAATCCTATTTAGTTTCACCAACACATAGTCTAACAACAGCACATCAGAAAACTATCAGAAAAAAAATAATCACTGCCAAATGGTTTGTTTAAGTCTCCAAGTGAGTTCCATGGTTTATTTCTAACATTCCAAAGACCAGACACATTAGGAATCAGAAAAATCTTGATGTAAAAGGTTTTTCAGTAAAAGCTGAGTGGAACTTTACATGTGTGTTTTCATGAAATCAGTAAGATCAGACTAGTCAATATATTTAAATGAAGGATATGCTAACAAAAAAATAATAGCAATTATTATAGGATTTCAAACATTTCCAATGAATGTAGGAAAATTTGGAAGTGATAAGACATAATATGTGTCAATTTTCATATGCATTAAGGCAAAAACATGACAGTTTAAACAGACAGTAAGCCAGTGCTTGAAAAGCAAAGTTCTTTCATTCAGAACAAAGCTCAAGTGATGATCCATAAATGTTAAAGTGATTATTGGTAATAGTCAGATACAGATATATAATATTTTTGTACCTATTGAGCAAGTTTCTGTCATCACTGCAAGTTAAGGCTTCTAGTAATATTTTCTTCTCAGACACTGCTGTGGTAGAATGAAATTTCATCCAAATGAACTCCCATACATCTTCATCCATCAGTGAAACTCCTGTACAGTAGACAATGTCCCTCACGTTGAGCGGGATTCTACAAAAGAAATCAGAAATAGCATTGTGGTAAATAAGGAGCCTCCTGATATTGGAAACGATGGAGGAACATCACTACATTTATGAGACTCCAAAATGAACGTGCAACAGTAATCTTTTTTTGGAAAATTACATTTGCTTCTCTTTACTGCCACCAAAATCTTCCAGGCCATCCTAATGGATTTTCTAATGGGTAACACATGCTTGCCATTCTTTTCATAACGCTGTCACATTGTCAGGAGACCATAAATTACGGTCATCCAGTTCATCAACACATAATGTGCCACATAACCTGCAGGACAGGTAACATAAGCTCTCCAAATTAGCATGGGATCTTATCACTCTGCTGCTGGGCTCTAAGCCAAATCTCCTCTTCTTGTCCTTAGTACTGAGGTTTTAGAACAGGAGCTGATCAGCCAGAAACTCCTCCTTGCTGGTGCTATAAAGTGCTCCATCTTCATATAGTAACATACACGTAAGGAAGGATGTGCTGAGACAATGCTACTTAAAAATGGTGTTTTCAGGAGTGAAGAAAATAAGAAATGTTTCAAATGTTTTTTCAGCATATTAATACCAGTATAAAACCAGCTATGCCATAGGATGGTTGTGAACTGTGATTACTGCTCAAGTAATATAAACTCAGACCACAGTTAAATGAAAGCTTCTTGAAGCCAAATTCAGACCTAGTATAGGATATGCATATGTACCATTTTCTTCTAAAGAGATCTCAGCTGGGCTTCCAATTTCCTACCCTGCTTATGCTTCCTATACAAGCATAGAAGCTGAAACATTTGTCAGCTAAAGCGTATTCCTGCAGATAAAGCTAGACGTTTCTCAGAGGATTATGTTTCTGATTTGCAGGAAAGAACGCCCTCTTTTTGTTGGTAAAAATTATACCAAAATGCAGTTCTCTAGTTACTAACAGCTGGGCTGAAACACCTCTGCAGCTTCATATGCATGACCTCTTTAGAGAACCTAGAGGAATATACAGCTGCTGTCAGCATCTGGGCAGCAATACAGTAGGATAAAGAATGAAATTACGTCTGTTAAATTTGGTGTCAAATCTTACACAACACATAAACAAAAGGTTACATCAATACTTTAGTTATAAGACTTTCACCGAAGTCTTATACCATAGACTGGGCTATCCTAGTCAAGAACAAATTGCTTCTTTTACTCCCATCTATTCATCCTCCAAAAAACCCCCTTTCTTCCACTGAAATTTTCTATTGTTTGGCTCTGCAATGAGTGTTTTTGTTAAAAAACTTCAGCTGATCTCTTTGGCCATGTCTGAGTCCCTGGAAAATGAAACCAGTGGGGCTTTTCAGCACTTCAAAGTTTTGGTTCCTCTTCAGTACTTCAGAAGGAAGTAGGCAACAACTATGATGGTTTCTTGAGAAAAAGAATAAAAGGCATATGTAGCTAATTTAAGGCAAAACTGGGAAAAAAAAGTGCACTCCTACTGCCTGAAGAACTGTGGGGAATTAATGCCTACTGCTTTTTTGCTATGCTTTTTTTGAGTAGCAAAAAAGTCCTGAGGTTGAGGCTCTCTTTGTGCTCTCTGGCGAGTGTAGTCATCAGCTCAGAGGGTGTATCTGCAGGTTTAGATGCAGCCACAGGAATTTCGCTTCTGCTGAGCTGACGAGGCTCAGGATAGTGCTGCCGCTTGGAGATTTTTTAGCAGAGTCCCACGCTAACAGAGCCACAACGGGCTGCCTTGACTAGTGCTGAGGTATTTTGCATTTGATGCAGACAAACCCAGGCATTTATTCAGGAGTAAACTCTCCAAAGCAAAACCAAAAGGGTAGGCAAGAGAAATGTAATCCATATTAAAGTTGCTAGGAAATACGTGCAGCACACGCCAGCAATATTGCCTTCTAAAGCAAAATCAGAGGTGCAATGTCTCATCTCTGCCATGAGCTGCTTCATCTAGCCAGGGTAGATTGGTAATACAGTGCAGAACCTAGCACGGTTCGAGATCTTACTGTTTCTTCTCCTCCCACCACCAAATCGCTGTGTGAGAACATGCCCATCCTGAGCTGTGCCAGGCAATCAGCATTGCTCTAGTTATGACCACATAGCTCAAACAACTCCTACGTGTTGCCGACACATAGATGGGACCTCCAAAAAATGCAGGTTCCACAGATCCTCCCCCTTGATGCTTCCTATTACCTTCTTAGATCTTTTCCCTCAATGCTCAGATGACCTAAAAAGCTTGGCACTGAAAAAAGTTAGTCACTCTCCTCAGATTTACCCAGGATCAGTAGGTTTTGACTTATGTACAGTCTATGGAACCGATTCTGTGGCCCCTATAGAGCTGCTACACCAGGACCAAGGAAACCAGAAAATTCTTAAAGCTGACCAAATCCATTAAAAGAAATACTGTTTAAACATACATGGGCAGTAATGAAAAAAGTTATCACTCACCAGCCTGAGTTTTGATTCTCAAAATCTGAGTTAACATTAGTAAAATGTGCGTTTGGTTGACATTTACAGAATTATCCATGTGTGCTAGGTGCTGAATTTCCATTTTTCTGTAATGGAATTTGCCCTTCTTACTTGAAAGTCTATCATTAAGACCTCATTGTGATATTTCAAATATTAATGAATATCAACAATATTATTTTTCCCCCATTTAACCTTTCTTTCAAAAAGTGCGTTCAAAGGAAACTGTATATAATTGCATCTATTACAGAAAATTAAGACTACATATTTAAACACAAGAAATCAAGATATATTAAAATTAATGGAGCAGATGTTTAGGTCCTGCCTTTGTGTTGACTTATATTAACTCAGAATGAGTCTTAAAGTTTTCTAAATAACTGAAACTCTCTCAAAACTTCGGCTCAGCAATTACAGTAACATAAATACGCAGCCATATGCACATAGACCGCATAGAACATGAAAGCGATATTAATTATCACCGTGTCTTGATTTTCTGATACGCTAGGTTATTTGTCCTTAAAGCACAACTTCCTTACTAGCTTATGTCTTTCTTTGCTTTGAATTTGGGATTTAATACATTGACAGCAGCCATAAGAATGTACGCCAAACCAAAAGGACTACGGGATGCTATCCTGACCATGGGACCAAACAACCTGTTGCCCCAAATCTGTCTTACCATATGATATCTGAATATGAAGAACAACTGAACCCAGTCAAGCCTTATTTCAGTGAAGGAAGGACTTTATAACTTGACACACAAACACTACATCATTTTTTTAGAAGCACACGTAGTTCTATGTGAGCTTTGCCAGCAGAAATATTATCTTTGGTTTACTGCAAGAGATGCGACTCAGCCAACAGATGCTCTAAAGAACTAGAAGGCGCCTGGAAAAAGTGGTTCTTTTTTGGTTGATTGGTCCATTAAACCAGGTAGGAACTGTGTGCTGGAAGGACTGTCACTCTGTGTTTGCCTAGTACGGTCAGCACAGAGGTGCCCAGAAGTGGATGTCTAACCCCAGAAAGGTCAGCATTCCTCACCCGTGAGGTTTACGTTTTTGAAATTTACAGTAAAACATATCAATTCAATGGCCTTTCCCAGCTACTCCATCTTTTACGTTCTACGTGCCAACACTAGCGGTTTTAGCAGCAGTGCGGTCAGTAACCGCAGGACCGTTTGCACGCTCTGGGAAGGAAGGAGGACGTAAGACAAGCGATGGCACTGATCCCGTGCCCATAGCCTAGATCTCACCGTGTTTCTAGCCAAGAAAAGTCTATTGCCACCAAATCGGTAATAGCATACTTGCAGTGCTGCAGCAGATCTACTCGGTGTCACCCAACCAACTGCTCCAGGGAAGGTTTTCCATCTCTGTCTATAAGCTAAGTCATTAGGACAAAAAATCAGCCCCTACGACGCAAGACATCGAAACAAATATTGATTTTAAAAGGCTTAGCTTCAGAAACTACAAAACTTACGGCTATGAAAAGCTACAAAGGACTGTGAGAGGCTTGTAATCAGGACTGTAGATCGGAGGGTTCTTGTGGAAATGAAAATTGTTTATGAAAATGCGAATATCTCCAAAGTTATTTCTCTTTAACTATTGCCTCGATAGAGAGCCCTGTAATCGAATTTTCTCTGTGGGGATTTTTGCTTTCTCTCTCCTCCAATCATTACGGGCCTGTATTTCATTGTTCTCTAAACATGTGAAATGTCTCCAGTCTACAGATTTTTTAATTTTATAGCTTCACGGAAAATGTTGTTCTAAAATTGCAGATCCAAGGCACTAGATCAGCATGTGGAATGTTTGCCCCCTGTATTAACTGAATCGAGTGGATAAAATTACCCATTGTTTCAGTACTGCTTAGGTAGTAACACTGCAGAACGTATCGCCTTGTTATATTAAACCTCATCTGGGCCTCCAAGGCTGCTCTCATTTTTAAAGAGGTAATATGATTGATGGATACTTCAGAAGAATAAAGATAAAGATTAACTTTTGAAAGCATCACTTTAAATGGCTTTTATTTGAATACTGATTCAATTTATTTAACTGTATTTTTCTTGCTTAAGAGATATGATGGTGAGAATGAAATATGTAGCTAGCAGAGCTCATGTTTAAAAATTAAACACTTTGGGAAAAAAGTTAAAAATTAAACAGTTAGAAAAAAATTAATTAAAATCGTGCTGTGCCTTTACAGGGATTTTTTTTTTCAAGAGTGAATAATAAAGCTCTACAATGAGCTAAGAATAATCTTCTAAGTTATAATTAATTGGTACATACTTGCTCCTATTTAAAGTATGTTCTAACTATTGGAGATACACTTATAAAATTGGACCATAATTATTTATCTTCTGGGCAAACTGTGTTCTAATTTTTTAAAATGTAATTGCACACAGTTTAGACAGTTCTTTGATTAAGTGACAAATTTCAATACCATTTAGGGTACTATTTGAAAAAGAAAATTAATCAGAAACATTATTCTTTATTTTTGCAGCTATTTAACATTTAACTTAAGCCTATTTTTCTTGATGACTATATTTATAGTCTTGTTTAATAGGTT